AACAAAAAATTGTTTCCATGAAAATTGAAATCCTAGGGCTTATCATACTCCAGGCTCACTAAGAACCAGAAACTTGACTTTTTATACTACTGGTCAATTAAAAATGAATGATGTGCTATCCTACACCTAAATGCTTTGATTTCTATACCCTATCTCAAACTTTACTGCTTGAAAACCCTACCATGCATACTCGACGCAGATTACAACTCTGACCACTCTGTGAGTTCAGGTCTACTAGGCTCAAACCCTTGCTAGACAGTAAACAAAGGTCTCAAAAACCTTATCAGGGCATGCTGGTTGTGATATAACACCCTGTGTTAGTTCATAGTTCGCAGTTCATTGTGCAGTGATGTCAAGCTTTTGGCATTGTCTCCTTCATCTTCAGTTATCCGTTTACAAGGGATGTAAAAGAAAACACAGGACTATTGTTTTTTATTTTAACAGTCTTAGGGGCAATGCAAGGGTGGAATATTCGGCCCCTTTTTCTTTCAAAAAAGCCTGATCTGCATGAATAATCTACTCTCTTCTATTCTACAGAACAACAGTAGCTCGTGCCTTGGCAAAAAAGGTGGGTGTCTACTGCTGTTCGTTTTGTTGGTTATTTTTTTCTTTGGGCTTGTTAGTACCTTTATATTAAAAGCTATCATTCATATCAATGGTGGATGCAGCTGGGTTTTGTTACATTCTTGCCAGTGGATAAGTTAAAAGTACTCTTGATGACAGTCATTGTTTGGAACTATGCTCATTAATTTTCCTGCTTTACACTATTGAAATTAACCATATGCAAATAATATTGCCTTGTCAGATGACATATATATTTTACAACAGGCAAGTTTGATGACTGCAAGTTACTCAAACAAAGGTCTTTTTTCTGTTGCCAATACATTCATTACTGAATGAAATATTTAGTAATTCCTCGCTGCACTCCTGACAAATTTGGAAGTGAATTGTCGAGAATCTTATTTGTTAATTGGGAGGGTCCAAGCCCTACAATAGATTTAAATTTATCCTCAGATGCTTTAGATTTGTTGTGAACTCCAAAAGCAAAGATATTATCCACCCCACCCCATAGAGGGTTACTGGGAAATTGGAGGGGGGGGGAGGGCTGGTATATGTTAAACCAACATTTATGCAAAGAAAAATTTTCAGAGGGGATGAGGGTGGAGGGTCAATCCAATAAACTCTCCATGAGGGAAAATGGAATTTTTCTGGTCGTGGAGCAAGGCAATATATGTACTGCTTTACAGTCACATGCTTAATACCAAGACCTCATAATTTGCAGTGGAACCCTGTTGATAAGATCACCAATGGTTAAAAAAATTTGGCTGTATCAACGGGGTGGCCATATTACTGAGGCAGGGTTAACTTTCATGATTTGAGGCCGTTATGACAAAACCACTTGGAACTTTTCTTCCCAACATAGAACACTTTTAAAAATCGGCTATTAAACCTCCATGAATGCATTTTCGTCTAAAAACAAAACAAGAACAGGCTCAGCTTACTAGGTCAATGAAATTGACATGTCACAGGCTTTTGATTTTCTAAATTTCGAATGAGTGGCCGTATTAATGGGGTGAAGTTATGAAAGATTTTACTGTTTGGGATTTTTATTAATGAGTGGTGGCAGTAACCAGGATTTTTATAAGAAAATGTATGGCCTTTTTGTCCCTGAGGAAAGAACACCTTTACATTTTCTCTAATTTCAACCAACTTAATATGGACTTTTTCTTTGACCCCCTCAGTGTCCGTATTAACAGGGTTTGGCTGTATCTGTGCTAACCAAAGAGAGTACATGTAATGGACCTCATAATGTATTTCACAGGAAATCAGCTAGCCAGGTAGCCTTGCAATGAAATGCATGGATCCTTTATCTTAAAAATCTGGATTTAGATTTGATCTGACTAGTGAATTTTTCTGGTGTGTGGATTCTTCAGATTCAAAATCCTCTTTCAGACTTTAGTAAAGAAGTGTAAAATGATTTTTAAGTTTCAAGAATGCAGACTGGGTTTTTCTCAAAGGAACAAACCTTTTGAAATTGCTGATGTTTCCTCTCTTACTAATCTGCATTCACTCACTTTTGACAGTTATCATGCCCCTATGTGGATGCTGATCATTTCCATTCAGCAGGGAATATCACAAAGATGAAACAGGGAACTCCCCTGACTGATGAGGTAAACATAGTGGCTTTCGTTACTTTTAGGCAGCTGTTGTTCTACAGAGGAAAACAAGTACATGTAAGTGCGTGAGAAAAGTGACAAGTTTATACGAGGAAAAAAAATGATGTCGTATGTCCAACAACTAAGAATGGAAAAAGAGGAAATACTGGTCATTTCTGGAACCATCTATATCTTTCAGCCACAAAAATCCAATTCGGGAAAGTATACTCATTTCTTAATTTTTATTTATTTATTTATTTTTTTTGGGGGGGGGGGGTGGGGGGGGGATTTTAGCCAATTTACTGTAGATTGAAGGCAGAATAATAGAGCAAATAACTAAAAAAGATTCATGTTTTTTTCTTTTGTTGTACATTCTACATTAAATGTAGAATGTACAACAAAAGAAAAAAACATGAATCTTTTTTAGTTATTTGCTCTATTATTCTGCCTTCAATCTACAGTAAATTGGCTAAAATCCCCCTAAAAAATGACGAGTTTATGCGACAACGTGATGAATGTATACGACAAATTTTGTCGTATACATTCATCACGTTGTCGCATAAACTCGTCATTTTTTTTTCCTCTATAAAGCGGCAGTCCCCTAGAAGTAACCGAAGTCAACATACCGGTAATCAACAAGGGCAGGCAGAGGGGGAAAGGGAACTGAAAAGCATAAACAGCATATATATAATATTATATTGTGACTTATTTTTTTAGCCATGATTAAAATTTTGAAATCAGATGAAATACAACTCCACACATCAACATGTACAACATGTATATTTGGAAGATATCATTGATCTGTTTATGTGAACTACAAATTGTGCATAATAATTTAATTGTGATACAAAAAAGTTTCCTTTATGCACGGAAAAGCCTGAGCCATTAAGAGAAAACATGTTATCAGATTTCCCTGACTTGCTGAAGTAAGGAACTTTAAAAGTACTTGCGTGCACCATTAGGCAGTTTTCCCAAGAACCTTTCTCATTGTCATGAAAGATATTATTCACTGTGGAGAATATTTATAAAGGGTTTCATTTATTGTTTGTCTGACGATTGTCACTTAGATATTGATTGCAACATTTCAACCTTGACTGCAGGTCGTCATCAGGTTGAAGTGTCGATTTACTAAGTAGGACTATTTGTACCACCATGGTTGTTGGTGATTGGTGTCCAACAAATCTTGCTCTTTTTCGGTGGGTTTCGATCCAAAGCATTGTGGCATTATGAGAGGGGGAAAACTGTTCCCTGAATGGTCTGTTGTGGTAGCGATCAGCTGCTATGTTGTTTGATTGTAAGCATCCACGCTTAAGGAATCTCAATTCCATTGTCTTTGTTGATGGTGTTAACTCCACGAGAGTACCAGTGAGGGTCTCTATCAATAAACTTAACCTCGTCCCAGAGTGGATATTGCCATTTACATTTTGTGTTGTTTTTGCACTCTTTTTTCCCTGTGTAACTGCTTGTCATAGGTCTTGTTTTGCCTTAGAAAGGCTTCAGTCTTTGTTGGGGACTCTCAGCGGCACTTTTGAGTTAACCACCATTAATATAAGCTTCACTAAATTTCACTATCCATTTGTATATTTTACAGGACAGGCAACCTTGGCTACTTGCCTTAAACAAAGTGATTGAAAGGTAACATATATATCTCTATATTGTTATATTATTATATCATTTCAGTTGTGGAGATGACAGAGTGCAGAAGCTAGCATTTACTTGCCCAGACGTCATTTCAACTAGCCCCAAAAACTTTTTGGCTAGCAGAATTGATTAAACAGTTCTTCTGTTATTCAGATTCCTCAAAAAACATCACTTGACCGTCGGGCAAGTTAAAAACAGAAAAATCCACCAGCTGTCTGGGCTATCGGACACTACCTTCTTTGCACGCTGAGATGAGTTTTGATTTTAAGCTCTTGAATCTCATGTTGTTTGCAAATAGCTAGATGACAGCCCAAGCTGCAAGCAATGTGCAAGCAATGTATGAATTAAATCTTAATTTTTGAGTTAACTCATTTGACAAACAAGGCATAATGAAAGAGGCACTATAATATTGTTATTCAATGAGAAGCAATCATGTAGACAACGGCCAATAAAATTATAAAATCAAGACAGGAGCATTTAAGGTCGGTACACACTAGGGGACAAGTTGCAGCAACATGTCATGGCAACATGTTGCAGTGACAAATTGCTTCTTGTGTGCTTGAGAATTTTTGTGAAAATATTTGTCTCTGCTACTGAATTTTGTCGCAGCAATTAACATGCCACGGAAAATCAACTCCAATAAAAATGTAATCAGTTCCAGATAAACAAAAGTCATTCCTAAATGTTAGCCAAACTCATCGATCAAAAACATGTCAACAACTTAAGCCTGTGGCGTGACAGTTTGCTTTAAGCTTTAACGGCTGTCAAACTTCACCAACAGCTTAAACCTTTGACGCGACAGTTTGCTTTAACGGCTGTCAAACTTCTAGTGTTTGTGGGCAAAATCTGTCATGTTTGGCACTCTGTCAGAACAGGTTTTTTTATCTCTTGTCTATGCTTAGATACAACTGACAGTAGTGGTACAACCCACTATTAAAAGTATGCAAGTAGTTATTTAGTGTTGTGGAAAAGAGGTAATGAAAAGGTTCTTTTTTTGTCCTCAATCAAAACTCACATCCATTTATCCTTGGTTGTGGTGTTCATGTAAAGATGCAAAATACCAGTAATCAGTTAGAAAACAAATGAAAGAAAATTTGCCCAAAAAATTTATGATAAAATTGACTCACGACATGTGCATGTCTTCTTTGCAGGTTGAATGAGGTGTACTCAATCCAAGACACAATTTTTTCACCCTGCGCGATCATGGTTGTTGTGTTGGTAACTGGTGTTTGTGGAAGTGGAAAGTAAGTGATGACTTGAATTTAATTTCATTTTCAACCCTTATACCTTACTACCACCCAGGGGTGCAAGAAGTGGGGGTGGGGCAGGTTGGGGCTACTCTAGGAATTCTTAGGTGGGGTTCAGCTGCTGAGACCCTGTACCAAACCATTTCAAACTGCAATTTAGGTACCATATTCTAGACCAAAAGTTCCAAATTAAAGTTCTTGTCATAGCAAGCCCTAGGATTTCACAGTAACGATCGTTTCCGGTACTATGTTGTTACTGTGGTATTAAAATAACTGAACCGAAAAAAACATTTCCCGGTGACATTTACAGAAGTAGGGTTCAATTTACAGAAATTCACTATCCCCACTCAGATTCTTAACTAGAAGAGCAATTTTATTCTTAGTTATGATTCAGGTTATGTATGAAACTAAAATGTTGATTACCATCTGTCATCTTTCTATCGTTCACCATCTTGAATTGTTACCAAAGAATATTGAACATTGCTGGTTTATGGCCTCCAGGGCCAAGAAAAAAAATATATGACTTCCAAAAATTGAAAACATTTAAGAGTTCGGTTCATTCCCTTGAATTTTTGAGTGGAACCAAAAAATTGTTACGAATGCTTTCACATGATCCCTGGGCACGGAAACAAAAAATTGTTTTCCATGGAAATTGAAATCCTAGGGTTTATCATACTCCAGACTCACTAAGAACCAGAAACTTGACTTTTTATACTACTGGTCAATTAAAAATGAATGACATGCTATCCTAGACCAAAATGCTTTGATTTCTATACCCTATCTCAAACTTTACTGCTTGAAAACCCTGCCATGCATACTCAACTCGGATTACAACTCTGACCACTCTGTTAGTTCAGGCCTACTAGGCTCAAACCCTTGCTAGACAATGAACAAAGGTCTCAAAAACCTGATCAGGGCATGCTGGTTGTGATATAACACCCTGTGTTAGTTCATAGTTTGCAGTTCATTGTGCAGTGATGTCAAGCTTTTGGCATTGTCTCCTCATCTCCAGCTATCCATTTACAATGGATGTAAAAGAAAACACAGCACTATTCTTTTCTATTTTAACAGTCTTAGGGGTAATGCAAGGGGTGGAATATTCTGCCCCTTTTTTCTTCCAAAAAAGCCTGATCTGCATAAATAATCTACTTTCTTCTATTCTACAGAACGACAGTAGCTCGTGCCTTGGCAAAAAAGGTGGGTGTCTACTGCTGTTCGTTGTTAATTTTTTTCTTTGGGCATCTTAGTACCTTTATATTAAAAGCTATCATTCATATCAATGGTGGATGCAGCTGGGTTTTGTTACATTCTTGCCAGTGGATAAGTTAAAGGAACTCTTGATGACAGTCATTGTTTGGAACTATGCTCATTAATTTTCCTGCTTTACACTATTGAAATTAACGATATGCAAATAATATTGCCTTGTCAGGTGACATATATATTTTACAACAGGCAAGTTTGATGACTGCAAGTTACTCAAACAAAGGTCTTTTTTCTGTTGCCAATACATTCATTACTAAATGAAATATTTAGTAATTCCTCGCTGCACTCCTGACAAATTTGGAAGTGAATTGTCAAGAATCTTATTTGTTATTGGGAGAGTCCAAGCCCTACAATAGATTTCAATTTATCCTCAGATGCTTTAGATTTGCTGTGAACTCCAAAAGCAAAGATATTACCCACCCCACCCCATAGAGGGTTACTGGGAAATTGGAGGGGGAGAGGGCTGGTATATGTTAAACCAACATTTATGCAAAGAAAAATTTTCAGAGGGGATGAGGGTGGAGGGTCAATCCAATAAACTCTCCATGAGGGAAAATGGAATTTTTCTGGTCATGGAGCAAGGCAATATATGTACTGCTTTACAGTCACATGCTTAATACCAACACCTCATAATTTGCTGTGGAACCCTGTTAATAAGGTCACAAATGGTTAAAAAAATGTGGCTGTATCAACGGGTTGGCCATATTACCGAGGCAGGGTTAACTTTCATGATTTGAGGCCGTAATGACAAAACTACTCGGAACTTTTCTTCCAAACATAGCACACTTTTAAAAATCGGCTATTAAATCTCCATGAATGCATTTTCGTCTAAAAACAAAACAAGAACAGGCTCAGCTTACTAGGTCAATGAAATTGACATGTCACAGGCTTTTGATTTTCTAAATTTCGAATGAGTGGCCGTATTAATGGGGTGAAGTTATGAAAGATTTTACTGTTTGGGATTTTTATTAATGAGTGGTGGCAGTAACCAGGATTTTTATAAGAAAATGTATGGCCTTTTTGTCCCTGAGGAAAGAACACCTTTACATTTTCTCTAATTTCAACCAACTTAATATGGACTTTTTCTTTGACCCCCTCAGTGTCCGTATTAACAGGGTTTGGCTGTATCTGTGCTAACCAAAGAGAGTACATGTAATGGACCTCATAATGTATTTCACAGGAAATCAGCTAGCCAGGTAGCCTTGCAATGAAATGCATGGATCCTTTATCTTAAAAATCTGGATTTAGATTTGATCTGACTAGTGAATTTTTCTGGTGTGTGGATTCTTCAGATTCAAAATCCTCTTTCAGACTTTAGTAAAGAAGTGTAAAATGATTTTTAAGTTTCAAGAATGCAGACTGGGTTTTTCTCAAAGGAACAAACCTTTTGAAATTGCTGATGTTTCCTCTCTTACTAATCTGCATTCACTCACTTTTGACAGTTATCATGCCCCTATGTGGATGCTGATCATTTCCATTCAGCAGGGAATATCACAAAGATGAAACAGGGAACTCCCCTGACTGATGAGGTAAACATAGTGGCTTTCGTTACTTTTAGGCAGCTGTTGTTCTACAGAGGAAAACAAGTACATGTAAGTGCGTGAGAAAAGTGACAAGTTTATACGAGGAAAAAAAATGATGTCGTATGTCCAACAACTAAGAATGGAAAAAGAGGAAATACTGGTCATTTCTGGAACCATCTATATCTTTCAGCCACAAAAATCCAATTCGGGAAAGTATACTCATTTCTTAATTTTTATTTATTTATTTATTTTTTTTGGGGGGGGGGGGTGGGGGGGGGATTTTAGCCAATTTACTGTAGATTGAAGGCAGAATAATAGAGCAAATAACTAAAAAAGATTCATGTTTTTTTCTTTTGTTGTACATTCTACATTAAATGTAGAATGTACAACAAAAGAAAAAAACATGAATCTTTTTTAGTTATTTGCTCTATTATTCTGCCTTCAATCTACAGTAAATTGGCTAAAATCCCCCTAAAAAATGACGAGTTTATGCGACAACGTGATGAATGTATACGACAAATTTTGTCGTATACATTCATCACGTTGTCGCATAAACTCGTCATTTTTTTTTCCTCTATAAAGCGGCAGTCCCCTAGAAGTAACCGAAGTCAACATACCGGTAATCAACAAGGGCAGGCAGAGGGGGAAAGGGAACTGAAAAGCATAAACAGCATATATATAATATTATATTGTGACTTATTTTTTTAGCCATGATTAAAATTTTGAAATCAGATGAAATACAACTCCACACATCAACATGTACAACATGTATATTTGGAAGATATCATTGATCTGTTTATGTGAACTACAAATTGTGCATAATAATTTAATTGTGATACAAAAAAGTTTCCTTTATGCACGGAAAAGCCTGAGCCATTAAGAGAAAACATGTTATCAGATTTCCCTGACTTGCTGAAGTAAGGAACTTTAAAAGTACTTGCGTGCACCATTAGGCAGTTTTCCCAAGAACCTTTCTCATCGTCATGAAAGATATTATTCACTGGGGAGAATATTTATAAAGGGTTTCATTTATTGTTTGTCCGACGATTGTCACTTAGATATTGATTGCAACATTTCAACCTTGACTGCAGGTCATCATCAGGTTGAAGTGTCGATTTACTAAGTAGGACTATTTGTACCACCATGGTTGTTGGTGATTGGTGTCCAACAAATCTTGCTCTTTTTCGGTGGGCTTCAATCTGAAGCATTGTGGCATTATGAGAGGGGGAAACTGTTCCCTGAATGGTCTGTTGTGGTAGCGACCAGCTGCTATGTTGTTTGATTGTAAGCATCCACGCTTCAGGAGTCTCAATTCCATTGTCTTTGTTGATGGTGTTAAAGTAAAGTCTTAAGTGATTTAAGCCTCTTTAACTCCAGGAGAGTACCAGTGAGGGTCTCTATCAATAAACTTAACCTCGTCCCAGAGTGGATATTGCCATTTACATTTTGTGTTGTTTTTGCACTCTTTTTTCCCTGTCTAACTGCTTGTCATAGGTCTTGTTTTGCCTTAGAAAGGCTTCAGTCTTTGTTGGGGACTCTCACCGGCACTTTTGAGTTAACCACCATTAATATAAGCTTCACTAAATTTCACTATCCATTTTTACAGGACAGGCAACCTTGGCTACTTGCCTTAAATAAAGTGATTGAAAGGTAACATATATATCTCTATATTGTTATATTATTATATCATTTCAGTTGTGGAGATGACAGAGTGCAAAGAAAATCATTTTTACAGCTTGCCATTCCGGCCAGCTGAGGCTAGCATTTACCCAGACGTCATTTCAACTAGCCCCAAAAACTTTTTGGCTAGAAGAATTGATTTCACTGTTCTTCTGTTATTCGAATTCCTCAAAAAACATCACTTGACCGTCGGGCAAGTTAAAAACAGAATTCACTAGCCCGATGGCAAAATCCACTAGCTGTCTGGGCTATCGGACACTACTTTCTTTGCACGCTGAGATGAGTTTTGATTTTAAGCTCTTGAATCTCATGTTGTTTGCAAATAGCTAGATGACAGCCCAAGCTGCAAGCAATGTGCAAGCAATGTATGAATTAAATCTTAATTTTTGAGTTACATTTATCTACAGTTGTATTGTGTATATAAATTTGTAAGGATCACTTTTGTTTTCTAATATTTAATATTAAAGCATACCTTACATTGACAGTAATGAATTAAGCTTTTCCAGTCATACAATCTCTAGGATTTTTATATGTTTTTATCATTGCCTTTTTACACAAAAACAAAGAAATAAGATAAAAAAATTGTGCCAGAACATGTAGATAAGGAGGCAAAGTGACACTTTTAGAGTCTTGTACTTCTATCACTTCCAAATAATTTGTGAATTCATATAGTGTGCCTTGTAATTAAATTCAGATGANTTCTTTGCACGCTGAGATGAGTTTTGATTTTAAGCTCTTGAATCTCATGTTGTTTGCAAATAGCTAGATGACAGCCCAAGCTGCAAGCAATGTGCAAGCAATGTATGAATTAAATCTTAATTTTTGAGTTACATTTATCTACAGTTGTATTGTGGATATAAATTTGTAAGGATCACTTTTGTTTTCTAATATTAAAGCGTGCCTTACATTGACAGTAATGAGTTAAGCTTTTCCAGTCATACCATCTGTAGGATTTTTACACATTTTTATCATTGCCTTTTGACACGAAAACAAAGAAATAAGATAAAAAATTGTGCCAAAACATGTAGATAAGGAGGCAAAGTGACACTTTTAGAGTCTTGTACTTCTATCACTTCCAAATAATTTGTGAATTCATATAGTGTGCCTTGTAATTAAATTCAGATGAAACTTGTTTGGTAGCACTTTCATATCAAATCACCTTGATGAAATGAATCAGAATTTATTAAGTTTTTGTTTTCTGTTGTGGTTCTAATTATTTTATCCTTGGTTCAAGTTTACTCTCCCTTGGTTCAGTGAATAACCCTATCTAAACATATCCAAGAAGAAAGGAAAACAAAGTTTGAACCTAATTTCAACCACAGCACAATTTAATGTTCACTCTTACATGCAGATATTTAACTTACATGTATTTGAGCATTTACATAGGTATACCTTGTTTTGAAATTGGCTGTAATTGGAGTGAAATAGATGCAACAACAAGTGATAAAGATCTGGATTGTTAAACAACTTCCTGGAGGGGATACTTGGGGAATTTTTGGTGGGACATGCCACTTGGACCCCAGAACCCTTGCCAGCTAAAGCAGACTTAGTTCAGCTAACTTTTGCTAACCTATATGAGACAAAACTCCCGAAAGCGCTCCCTATTGTTAAGTCTCTACTTTCCAGAAACAAACTACCAAAGTCAAAACTTTCTTTGCTATTAAACTGAGAAGCAGGTAGATTTAAATTTTTTGATTGTCAATTCCTGGTTTCTCTAGTGTAGAATAAAATCTTCAACCGATGCCGGTAAATTGATCAGTTTTCCTCCAATTTCTGTACCCTGTAGAATAGTTGCTTGAACAATCACACATTCTATATAGCCCATATATGGCAATACCCCCTCCCCAGAGAGCAAAATAATTCTCCTCCACATTACCAAGGGAAATATGTGGAGAACAGTGCACAGAATAAATTATGGATTTTGGTGTTAGATTTATTGTAAATTGTTAACTTTTGGGTGCCATCAACTCTTAGGTGGAACAAGCGATCTGAATCAGGAGTACTTGCTTGTTCAGCCCTCAAGGAACAGTATAGACAAACAATTCTTCTTGGAGCGGAAGCAGCCTCTGAAAATAAACACTACTGTTCAAATGGTGACAAGAGACAAAAGCTGTCCAGACCATTGCCTTTCTGTTGTCTTGTTGTCCTTCTTCATGGCTCAAAGGACTTGATAAAGGAAAGAATGGAGAAGCGACAAGAACATTTTATGCCCTCTGATTTATTGGACTCGCAGTTTGAAAGTCTCGAGGAACCAGATAACTGTGAAATGTACTCTGTCATAAAGGTAGCAGTGGATCAGACTGTTGAAGAAATTATCAATGAAATTTTGCGAGCCTTAAAGGCTAAATATGGAATCAGGGTATCGATACACAGTACTGTCTGAAATGTGGCCAGCTGGAATTTATATTTTTCTTATTTACACATAGTGGGGTGTGTGAAATAAGGCTTCAAGTGACTCTTGATTCAATATCAAATTCCTCCTCCTATTTACATTTACAAGGACAAACAAAGCAAATTGAAAGGAGAATCTACTAGTTAATAACTTGTTAATCAGAAGTCACCTGGGGATTTATTTCGTGCACGATTAAAGTCAAAACTGGCATTATATGCAATCATATTTACTGGCAGCCAGAGAAAACAGATCTGGGTAGTGCTTCTGACTGGTTGAAACAGATTTCCCACAAGGCACGACCAATCAGAAGCACTACCCAGATCTGGGTCGTGATGCGTCATCAGTATGGAATTTCTGCGCTCATTTCTCAGATGTTATTTTGCGGGGAAACCACCAGTGGCGTCGCAAAATGTCATCTGTTTTCTCAGGCTAATTTACTGGACTCAATTTATAAATACCTCTTACTATCCAATTCTGGAGTCTGTACCGCAGGGAGTGGAATGAGTTTGCACAGACCGTAAATCAAGCAATGAGGACTCCTATCTTACAGTACAGGCTGAGAAAATACGTTAATCAGGCAGGCGAGCTTGAGGCTGTGCAGCAGATTACAACCCGCAAAACAGACTAATCATTATTTTATAACAAACTCTTTTCTTGAAAATTTCCTTAGTTTTTGCAGTCAAAGTTATATGCTGGGCACCCAGTTTTCATGGGTTCAGGTCCCCGTAAATTTTTCTTAGAGCTTAGTTTTGTATTTCCGAGGAAAAAACAACATGTCATTTTACCAGTTTTCTCTACATTTCAGTTACATGCAAGGTATTTGCTTGCTTTTTAGTCGTTGACATACCGGTAAACATTGTATTTTCCTTGGTTAATTCCCACAGCCACCCCTACAGTCACCATTGTTGTGATTAGACAGCCCAAAAATGGATGACACTTACAGGATCCCTGCGGTGTGTGCTTTATTTGTTGCTTTTACTCAAAATATGGGTAGAACGGTGTAGGACCTCAATAGTGGAACTTGTGTCTGCTCAGGAAGAACTGTCTAACATGCGTTTGTGCTATACAACTTTATATTCCTATCTAAGAAAAACGTGAACACCTAAAGAATTTTGATTGTGTAGTGACCAGTCACAATTACGTTCAAACTTCAGAACCACTAACTAATTGCTCTTGCTGTTTGCATTTTAGTTTTCTCATGCTTGATTGGTTTTTGCCTTGTCATGACAATGGCATTCAAGAAAAAGATATTTTTGATGCTTTTTTTGCTATTCACAGTAATTAATTAGTAAAAATTGTTGTTTTTTGCTGGTTATAGTAGGAAACTAAGTGTAAAGGACGAACAATGTTATGCCTGTGGCATCAGCTGAGCAGATGGAAGAGTGGACTCTCTTTCAATGTTAGCGGGTAAGGTATCCGGTCGTCACCACCAGTCCATCCCGCCACCAAGAATAGAACTTAGCATATACAAAACAATTGAAAAAACTTTCATGAACATGAATTTTCTCTTAACTGTCACTTTATCATTTTTTTTTTTCAAACAAATGACGGGGTTTGGTCAAACTAGGCAAGGATCGTCAACTTTGATCGATAGATCTCTAACGGTCAACTTCAAATTCGAAGAAGCTTGGCAAGAAAGTAAAATCCTTGGTAAACAATGTGGGTAAATTAAATAGGCCATTTCCAAGTTCCCCCGGGCCTCTGTATAAAAACGAGGTTAAGTGCTCAGCCTTTGATATGGAAATGATTTTTCATTCTCATGCAAATAAGACTCATTTTTACAAGAAAGGTTGTGCACTTAGCCTCATTTTGAAAGTGAGGGTTTTTGGAACTCGGAAGTGGCCTATTGTTTCAATTATTTCGGGGTTATTTCTTGGTTGGGAGTCGACCTCTTTGTGGCGAAATTGTTGGTGGTGAGATGACTGTAAACCGTGAATGATGATACTACTTCCCGTGGGTTGTCATCTGGACGGCAAAGTATTGTCAAGAGTAAATTGACTGTTATAGATATTACTTTTTCAGCCGTGTCTAAAATGGGGTAAGATATGACTACCTCATTGTAAATTAGAATGATTTCAAAGTAGATTCTTAACTAGCCTGAGAAAACAGCCGTCATGTCGCCACTCCACCACTGTTTTCCCCGCAGATCTGGATAGTGCTTTTGATTGACTGAATCAAATGTCCCTCGCTGCACGACCAATCAGAAGCGCCGCTACCCAGATCTAAGTACTGAGATGTCATCTGTATGGAATTTCAGCGCTCATTCCTCAGAAGTCATTTCGCCTGGAAACTAGTGGTGGCTTTGCAAAATGATGGCTCTTTTCGGCGGTTTATTAGAAAGATTTAAAAGAAGATCATTAACCCTTTAAGCCCCAAGATCCACATACAAATTCTCCAGACTAATCTCCATGCATTTCTTTTAAGAATAGCTGAGAAAATGTGGTTTAAGATCAAAGTATTCCCCCTTTAATAATCAATTTAGTAATTCTCATAACCTTTACTCTTGATGATCTGCTGATGTTGTTGGGAGAAAATTGATGTTGCTAACTCTTGGGACCTAAAGGGTTGACATAAAATGTATATGTTTGAAAACGAGTGAGGTACATTGGGCAACCTCCTGCAGCACAATCTTCTTCTATATTTTTGCAATTAGATTCAATGTTTTTATAAATTATTTTAAATAGTGATATAAAATTCAATTTGTAAGCCACTTAATTATTGTAAGTTAGGTTGTTGTAAATAAATTAATTGTGTATATTTGGTAGCAGTCATAAGTTGTTTCTGTCAGTGTACCTTGCGGCATAAACTCTGTAGTTAAAGGAAAACATTTGTCAATCATTTGGGCCGCTGAGAAGTATGTGACGTGATTAACCCTTTCACTGCCAAATGTGGCCAAAGGCAAATTTCCAACAAAGTTTCCAAATTTCATTTTCTAAAATTTTGACAAACGAATAGCAGAGTGTGATAGTACAGGCAGAGAGCTTTCATTTGAATGGTCACATCATAGGATTTCGTCCACAGACTCGAAAGTTAGAGTCACCTTACAAAACTCCATCAAACACTCTGGCAGTGAAAGGGTTAAAGGGGCTGTGACACGAGGGTATTGCTGTTCTAGGTCAATTCTGTTCAGGTCAAGTCAACTTTTATTTGAACTCACACAGAAAATTAATACAATTAAGTGTTTCGAATATAACAAAAAGATTGTGAAGAAGGAAAAGAAATTTTTCAATTTTAGGTTCATTGTGCAGAGTTTGGGATGTCTAAATAGTTCGTACAACTGACCGAGTGGCCATTACTTAGTTCCCCTACACATTCAAATTATCCTGTTGAGTTATAAAGAATACATCACAAAAAATTCATCAGCCAGCACTTAACCGTAATGTTTGGTGATTTTGCTGGCATATTATTAAAACTAGAAAAGGGTTGACCCAACCATTTCCCTTTTCAATCCATGTCCATCCACGCCATCACGTTGCAACAGAAAATAGGAATCAAATTCAGTGCTTGAATAGCCGTAAATAGCAAAACTGGACCATTTTTTTTAGAATTCAATTGATGCGAAGATATGTTTTAGCTTTTAAACAGATAGCATATAGCGTGACAAAGCCTTTTAAAAAGTGTCAGGTGCAAGCAAAGGCGTTGCATCATTTCAGTTTTGTGGCGGACACAAGCAGAATGACGTGTAAATGATGAGTGATACAAATCGAGTGATGGGGAATAATGGTGAGTGATGAGTGAATCTCATCTTGATTTATCTTTGCTTTTAAGTAAACATCAAACATTTTCGGCTACAATTGTCTTTTGTCAAAATGGACCAATAAAGGGCGTTAAGCAATGTTTTAGAGTACTCCCAGTCACCAGTACTAGTTTTTTTGGTAAAAAATAGGTAAATATATTGTTTGGTGATGTTCTAGATAGAACACAAGCTAAAACGCGACTAAACCCATGCACTAACTCTTTAGAAAAACTCAAAGTTACCAAATATGTAATATCCATATTATTATAGTCTATAAAAGCTTGTTGTCTATCTAGAACATTACCAATTAACGTTTTAAACTCTGTTTTACCAAAAGAAAACAATCAATAATTTCAGGAGCCTATGACCATGACTATAGTCATGGGCTCCCGATAATTTTAAAATTTTTTACCAAAATTTTGGACTAACCCCTTCAGAATACGTAAAATTTGGCAAATATACAAAGCCGAGGCTTTTATAGTCTGTAAACGCACGTTTTCTTTCTAGAACATCACCAACTTGAATAACTTTCATAAATCTCTTTTGTCAAAACACAAACAATAACAAAAATCCAGTTTTTGACCAAAATTATGGAATATCCCCTTAAGAAAAAGACGAATTTGTTAACTGTGTAATGTCGAAGTTTTTATACTTAAGAAAAACTTGTTTTATATCTAAATCACCACTAAAAAGATCATCTTAAATTCTATTTTGGCAAATTAAAAACAAATTTCCAAATTGTGACAAAACCCTTTAGAAAATTTCCAGTTTCGCGATTATGTAAATTTGAAATTTTTATTGTCTAGGGGTGCGTTCCTTCGGGATGATCCGGATCAGGATGAGTGATCCGAGATCACTCGGATCATGGTAGATCAAATGAACCGATGAATCCACTCTGGACAAGGATTTATCGGTTCATTTGATCTACCATGATCCAAATGATCTCGGATCACTGATCCTGATCCGGATCATATCAAAGGAACGCACCCTAGGAAAACTTGTTTTCTCTCTAGAACATCACCAAACAACATTGCAAACTCTTTTGCAAGCACAAACACACACACAAAAAAAAGGGGGCAGGGTAAAACTTTTACTAAAACCATAGAAAAACCCCTTCAGACAAAATAAAAATTAGCGGCCATGTAAACTAGAAGATTTTATACTCTTTACAAGCTTCCTTTCTCTCTACAGCATGACCAGACAACATTCTTTACTCTGTTCTACCAAAAATAATAATAATTTCAAAATTCTTCAA